TTAAGCAGTGTCTATTGGGCTTTTCGACTTGTCATTATGAATTTTTGAGAGCGGGCTTTACTCTTATGTAATCTCATTATGTTAGCCTCAACATCCCAAAAGAGAAGAAACCACTTAAATATATATAGGTAAACCACTTACTTAATTAATTTCGAGTATGAATTTTTGGAATATGCAATATGCTTATAGCATGTGAATAGCTCAGGAATAATTTAGTTATTTAACAATTGATATATTGATTAAGTGAAATCAGAGTAAGTCTATTTTATTATATTTATATATGAGTTATCATATTTTTTTTTTTTTAATTATTACTTTTACCATATTGAATACCATATTCAAGATTTAAAAATTTGTTTTATATTTGTATCTTGAGCCCAGTAAAAATGGAAAATCATGGCTGGTTTCTTTGAGATTATAGATTGAAGGAGGCATGGCAGACTCCATAAAATTAATATATTCTTGATGCAAATCATGTTTATTTCAAATAATTGGTAACTATTCCGTCTTTAATGTTATCGATGTAAAATGATATCGAAATTCGGTAATTAAATTTGAGTTCGATCATCATTTGATTTAGAGTCTCAAACTGTTACATTTTGTCTTATCTGTTTATATACAAATTTTATTTTTTTATATGTGTACATTTACCTATAAACATATATTTAAAATTTTACTTCATTTAAACTCTTTAGAATTAGTGGGTCATATCGACAAGATGTAAATGAGTTATTTTTTCTAAATTAACAAATATTCAATTGATTATTTAGATCATATACTAAATATTTAATTTTAAGTCCCTGAAGTAACTTCTAAGATATGAAACAAACCATTTGGCCAATTGGTAAAGGCATGCAGCGCCAAGCGTAGGCATTTTTGCTACACATACACACACATACATATGTGAAATTTATTCCATGATTCACAATGTATACTTAGTTGTGCGTGGATTGTCATTGCCATTGTAGTTTGGATTTGCTTCTTTGCGTTTGAGCTTTGATGTGGCGGTGTTGATAAAACAGATGTGAGTGGCTGAGGAGCTCTGAGTGCAACTGTCCTCTCAAATATTTTTTCTAAGTTGAGTTTGAAATGATTTTTGAATCCATTTCATAGAGATCTCAAAAAATTTAAGCCGTAAATATTATAATATATATCATACGGGTACGGCAAAGTTGGGGCTAGTGCATTTCATCTTGCCTTGCATCTAGAATACAGTAGAGTCCGGCTTTAACGACTCTGCTTATAGCGTCTTCCGGTTATAACGACGGTCCCTTGAGCATCGCTATAGTCGGACTCTACTGTATATTGACTTCATGTATGCTCTACGCCTCTAACGACAACTCAAATCTTCAATGGACTGCAGGCCGTAAAGAAAGCTCAGCGAGTGTTTGTTTTTGCCTATTTTCAGTTTGCTCACTGTCAAAATATTTCTTTCGCATTTTGCTCTCAACTGAAGCTGTTTATGTGGAATATGACTTGCTTTTGTTTGCCATGATTGTTTACGTTTTGCTTGTTTCCTGTCTAGGCCCCACCCCTTCGCATTTGCCAATTTCCCATTTTCCAACTCTAATTGCTGCTGTTGCGCTTTGTTGTTTTTCACGCGCTGCCTTTGCGGTGAGCGTCTGGCGAAATTTTGAAAAAATTGCGCATCGCCCACTGTCAGGATGCGCCGGGATGCGACACGTAGCACATAAATTGTGTCAAAAGCAGATAAAACAAAGTGCAGTTGTTTTTCCACACATGTACATGTGTGTGTGTGTGTGTGTGTATGAGGACAACGGGATATCAATCCGCAGAAACATGCCCTTTCACACCGCGTTATCGGCGCCCCTCACCATCCATGGCAAAGGTCCTGCCGTCCTCGTCATTGCCAGCACATTAGATCATAAATAAAATTAGAGCAGCGCCTTTGGCAGCGCCTCTTGCGTCCATTACGCGCGTCCTATCAGATACGCCTGGTGTGCAAATGTATCTGGCTGCAACTGCTGTTAGTCCATCTGTAGCCGAGGCTGGGTTGGTTGCTTCGTTGTGTAATATTGATTAAATTGGTGAAACTCTTTTCTCTCTCTGCTTCTTCTTCCTCTCGCTTTTTTTTTATTTTAAATTACTGTAAAATTTCGCACACTCACCCAGTGGTAACTCAGTCTCATCCAACCTCTGTCTGTCTGTCTGTCTGTCTGCCAGTCTCTCTGTCCGCTGCTGTCCGTGTATGTTTCACCCTTTTGCCATTATCCGTTCGATTGCTGCTGCTGCTGCTGCTAATAATATTGACACAAAGGATACTCTCTGGTCCTGCACTTCATACAAAAGGTATGAAAAAGAGGATGAAATACAGCAACAACAGCAGCAGCAGCCATGGCTTTGATCGGTGAAGTCAATTGTAACACATCGAATTGTTCGCATTGATAGATTTTGATTTATTTGCAGTTATTTATATGCCTTCAACCAGCCAGTCAGTCAGCTCTCTCTTTCTCTCTGTACGTGTGTGTGTGTGTGTGTGTGTTGTCGATGACTCGACGCCTCATTGAGTGACGGCCGTTGCGGCAAAGGCTCTAACTTTACCTACTTCACAGCGACATTAGATTATCCGTTCTTATCCTCGATTTTTGGTTTTTACCCTTTTAGTCGCTTTCCACAGCAAAAGATTCGCACACACTAAAGCAAACACACAACCAGAGACAGAGAGCTGTAGAGAGAGAGAGAGAGGGAGGGAGGGGGGACAGAGAGACTAACATGCATAGCAAGGACTTGCCACGTGATGCACATGGCCTACAGGACATTGCATCTGCTTACAAATATCTGCATACGACAGGCTGGCGAGGGTCCACACACGAGTTATGCAGAAGTCTTGCATTGCATTTGCCATTATTTATTCCTGACGCAATTCTGTCATTGGATATACGTAAGCATTTTCGCATTTTCACGGACAAACTGCATTTGTTACATTGAAAACAGTTATGCGCATGTTAAAGCTAATTTGATTTAATAAGAGAGCTTTGCAGGCTCTTAAAGTGCAGTTATATACATACAGGGCTGTCCATAGTCGGTGAACCCATCTGACAACCCTATATATTTCGACAGAGATGGGCACACGCCATATAGGCTCAAGGCGGCCATTTGAGAGATATCATATTCAAAAAAAGTGATGTCAACAAATCTACTTGAACTAAATAAAATGATTATTATATTCAACATAAAAAATTGTGGGTTTTCTTTGATTTAAAGATAAACATAGTTTCCTTGAATATGGACAACCCTGTAGCACACATGACCGAGATAATCTACTCATGTTGTTTAAAGTATCTATTCCTATGTTGTTTAAAGTATCTATTCCTATGTTTGAAGAGGCTAATAGAAGATTGGATTGATATCGGTTACCTCATTATATATCGGTTACATCAGTCAATGAAAGGAAAATTTAAGGAACTTCTTTAGTTATCGTACGAAGTCCTGAGCAAACTAGTTTCATACTTTGATAGCCTTCCGACCTATATGGATGATTATGTTTCCGTTTGAGATTTACTTCTATCTGTTCATACTATCTATTTAAAATACTAAATTGGGAAAAATTAAAACGACTTTTACTTGAGGCCAATCAACCCTATCTTGGAACTTATAAGATCTTGAATTCATATCGTTGATCTATTGGTATTTCGAGTAAGAAGCAATTTTATTTGTTCACACCATCTATTGCATAGATGTATTCTTACATGGAATATATATGTATTGATTTGTATGCTTAGTCGATTTAAACTCTAATACAAGTATCACAAATATCTGCCCAAAAAACGTTGAGATAATTCTGCAACAAATAACCAATATATTGTTAAATATAAATAAGATATTTAGCTTATTAAGGCGTAACTGCCTCAGCTTTAGTCCCTTAGAGATTCATAAACTTCATCTTAATGCGATTATCTGTTATCTTTAGGCAGATTGCATTCATTGCAATCTCTCTCTCTCACTCTCTTTTCAGCCCTTTCTAGTGTAACTGCAGTCCGACTTCAGCAAATGTCCAAGTGTCCAAATGTCTAGCTGTGTGGACGCCAACCGCATTGCTTGGCCATGGGGGTGGTTCGCGCATTTCCTTTGCTTTGCAAAGTGGAAAGCCCACACATATGTGCATGTGTGTGTGTGTGTGTGTGTGCATGTGCTTATTGCATATCCTTAAGGTAATCACATTCACAATATAATAAAACCATGCGGTGACGTTCGCTTTGCGTTCCAGCTGCTGTTCGAGCCGCAGCGACTGCTGAATGCGCTGCAGCGGCACATGTGTGTCCACGTGTGTGTATGTGTGTGTGTGTGTGGGTCTGGGTGTGAGCATAGCGCATTTGGTCATGTGGTTAGAGCCGGGCCAAAAGCAGCAGAAGAAAGCGTTTGCCTTCATTTTTGTTGTACTTACATCTGTCCGCATGTGTGTGTGTGCGTGTGTGTATTTTTTTTTTTTTTTTTTGTGGAGCGTCTTCTTTTCGTTTATTTTGAAAAGTTTGTTGGTATCCGGCTACAAGTCCCTTGGGCAGCATTTGCCACCCCATTCACAGGCAGTTGTGTGAGAAGACAACGCTACAAGCAAACCACCCACACACATGCACACACACACACACACCTTGGGCGCTCGTTTGGAATTCTTCAAGTTAATGTTGTTGTTCCTGTTTTCATTTTTTTACTCCTTCTGCTTTTTCTTCTCTTTGGTAACTGTGTTGTTTTTTCCTTTTCCAAAATGGACATATGGCCATTGGCATGCCCAAGCCTCGGCCGCCCGCACCCACATTTATCAGTGCATAGCTGTGTGTGTGGGTGTGTGCGTGTGTGGTTATCTCCATGTAGGTTTTAAAACCTTAAACAATTTCGGCAACGGCTTGCGAATAGACTGTAAATTGGGAAATTAATGGCCCTGTTACGGCTCGTGTATTGTTTTTTAAAGGGTTTTCCTTAAACCCCCTTTGTCCCTTTGCCACTCCCGCACATGTTTTCCTTTTTCTTTCATTTTTGTTTTTTTTTCTTGTTTTTTATTTTTATTTATTTTGCAGACTGACTGATAGGAGGCGTTTGCCACCCACTGAGTGGTTGTCTGCTTAGCCTGTGCATCAGGAATGGACCTCGACCAGGACCAGGACATGGACGTGGACTTGGCATTCTTGCGGCTTTTCTATTTGCAGTGGGATTTATGAATTTGTGTGGCACGGAATTCAGCGTCTGGAAACTTTACTTTTAAATAAGTTTTTTCTTACTGCCCATATGTAGCTCTGTCTGCTTGATGCCTGTAGATAGATATGAAATAGTTTAGTTAGGTCTTTGAAGCTTTTATTTTTGCGAGACAATAAAACTGTTCTAAATAAAAAATAAATGGATGTAAATATGATTATTTAAGCATGGTTTAGCTTATTCTATAAATATTTACGAGTATGTGTATCCACTATCAAATATTAATGAAGCATCAAAGCTTTTACTGAACAAAATCTGTGTTATTTATATGGTGCATGATAACTCGAATAAATAGAAATTAACTCGAAATCTATGGAATATACATATTTGAATTAAATAATAACTAGAAATTTAGTTTACTTCTGGAAGTTGCTTACATTCATTCTTAAAAGACGGACCCTACAAGAGCTTTTTGTAATCATTAGTCGCCTTTTATCTACTCATCTTTGATTATTTTCTTTTTTTTATTATTTCTCTCCATTACATTTTCACATACTTTCTTATTCCTCTCTTATCTTTTGCGTTTTTGTATTTAAATCTATCTTCTTATTTTCAAATTCTTTACTTCTCTTCGTCTTCTTGCTCCAGCTCACTACTTTGCTTTTCTTATATCAGCCACAGCTGTTCAAATATTCTTGTTCTTCTCTATTTTTTTTTAATTTCTATTCTTTTATCTACTCTTTTCTTCTTCTCGACTTTTATGTTTTATATTTCGTTCTTCCTTATTCGCATCCGCTTTTTATTTCAATCTTAACTTTAATTGGGTTTTCATCTCTATTCGGCATTCATTAACTTACTCTTCTCTTTTCTGCTATTTCTATTACCGTTTCTTCTATTTGCTTTCTTGATTATTTCTCATAATATACTTATTCTTATTCTTTGTTTTCCTTCTACGTTCTTTTCTTCAACTCTCCATATATTATACTTTTTTGTTCAGGATTTTCATAATACTTCTTCAATATGAAGAAGATACAAGAATAGATCAAGAAAACTAAACTACATGAAAACTAAACTAGTCGAGCAGTTAGCAGAGTAGCAGACTCATGAAAAGAGTATTTGTTATTCGAGCTTATCAGTGGGCTTATCAATGTTTGAATTTCAGCCTGGAGGGCTCTACAAATAGTTGGGACTATGCTCCACTTGGTTCTCTAGGAAGTCAGATAACATTAATATATGCGAATCGAATAAAGGGAAAAAGTCTTAAAAATAACTAAACAGGAAACAACGAAGAGAGAATTGCGAAAACATGCTCAAACCAGGGCATTAATATATGTATATATATCTGCATATATATTTATGTAATATTGGTTACTGAAGTGGGCGCAAACAAACAGAAATAATAAGACACGGGCAGAGAAAGAGAGATGGAGTTGGAGGGGGAGGGGGAGAGGAGGGGGAGAAAGGGGAAAGAACAAAACAACAGAGGACGAAGCATATGCAAAAAATTTAAAATAATAACAACCCAAAGGAAAACAACATTTGCAGATATTTTGTCCTTGTTTGCGGCGGGTTTTCTATGGAAAGGGATGGAGAGAAGGAAAGAGAGAGAGAGAGACAGGGAGAGAGAGAGGGGAGTGGGGCTTGACGATTGGGGATGAGAGGACGTTTTGGCCAAACGGACCGACCAAACGGTCAGGATATGTGCTGCTCCCAGCGCAGACCATAAACACACTCGCACACATAGAGACGAAGGACTATAGATTGAATGGAATGATACACATCGAGAGATCCCGAAACGCGCTGTTCGGACTTTTGTGGGAGTTGTTTGTGTGTGGGAGTGTGGCGGTGTGGGGGTGTGGTCGTGTGGAAGGGCGCAGGACATGTCTTAAAATTTTAAAAAGGACCACAGCAGCGACCAGGCGACGACCAGAAAGGACCTTGGCAGCTGCTTTGCATATGTGTGTGGGTGTGTGCGTTCGTGTGTGTGTGCGTGTGTGTGGACTTTTGGGTGTAGTTTTGACAACGAGCATTGGGCTAAAAAGTTTGTGCTTTGTATATACACACACACACATATGCAAGCCAAGCATATAGATATTTATATATTTCTATATATACTAGTATATATGTATGTGTGTGTGTGTGTGTGTTTGGGTGTATGCTTTGCGGTCCTTTTGGGCGGCAGAAGGTCCAGATGCTTGTTCTGTTGCCCGGTTCCGTTTCATTAGTTGGACTGTCGTTTCGCTTACCTTCATGCTGTGGAGGCTTAAGGGGGAAGGGATGTAGCTCAGCTCCATATACACATACACATGCATATCTATACATATGCATATAGCATACATGTGTGTGTGTGTGTGCTTTGCGGCTCCGCCGAATGCCGAATTGGATTTATACGTGTATAATAAAAGTACTTGACGGGTGGGCCAAAACACTAAATGACTATAAAAAGCACTTTGAAGAGGGTCAAATGGAGATAAATTTGTGTGTGTGTGTGTGGTCACAAGGACTTGCGGGACGCTGTGTTAAGGATATTTGCTTGTGTCTAATGTGTTTTTATTTTCCAGCTCGTTTTCGTCTTACGTTTTACGATTTCGACGGTCACTTTTGTGGACGTGGCGAACGTTGTTGGGCTTCAAATGTCCTTCGTCCTTCGTAAAAGGGCTATTTGCATGCATGCATGTGTGTTTGTGCTTGTGCGCGTGTTTGGCTGCCTGTGGGTGTGTGCGTGTGTGTGTGTGTCTTGGGGGTTTTCGTTTCAAAGGGGGCATTGTGTATTTTATGGCCACACACCCAGCATTTCTTTTTGCGCCTTTTGACATCGGTCTTTCGGTTGTTGGACCAAGCCGACAACTCGCCCCGCCATTTGAATAGTACCCATCCATACGTTAGCGAAACCCAAATGCCCCAACCACCACAATGCTAAACTTTCCCAATTTCCCATTCCAATTTCAGATAGCGCATAGTGCCTAGGTAGTTTAGTCCAGAAAGCATTTCCTTCAATGAGACTAACAAATGCTCTTTCTTTATTATTTCTTTATTATTTTATAGCTGAATGAAAGAAGGAACGTTTTTTTTTTTTTTTTTTTTTTTTTTGCCGGAAATTATTACAAAGCATTTAGTATATTCTGTTCCAAGTTCAAGTTTACATTTAAAGCACTAGCTGACAAGACCAATAATTGTAATTGCTTATAAGCATTTTGTTTACCGCATAATACGAGGTAATTCGGAGGTTATCGGTATTGAGAGATAGCTAATCAATTGATGCACAAGAGCAACTTTTTGAAAATATTGAATAATCCCAATGAGTTTCAAATGTGAGCTGAGCTCAATCTAAGGTACAAAGTTTTAGTTCTCACTATAAACGTATTTACTAAGCTCCAATATAACTCCGCTATATAAGATATATGGAATACACTTTTCTGTCAACTGAACGATCTCTGCTTTGGACGCAGGCAGTTTTGCGCGCAGTTTCATAAATCACACAACCTTTCAGAGGGGTCGAGCCAAGTTCTTAGCGCACATTCCTGCAGTACGAAAGGCATATGGGTCCTGAATGTCGAAAGTAATTCGATACTTTTTAGGGTTGAGTCGTAACTGGACGTTTGCATCCATTTCTAATTGCAAACTGTCAATTACTTTTGAGCAGGAGAGACAGAAGCAGCGAGCGTGAGCGAGAGAGAGAGAGAGGGAGAAGGAGTGTGAGTGTGTCGCGGAGTTATGGCTCAAGAAATTGGCCTTTTGGCAGCTCCCGGCGGAATATGCATGACGTATGAACGAACGAGCATTTCGCTAGTATGGCCGATTGGCCCATCTGGCAAATGGACAGCGGTCCAAATTTGCAATTTTTATGGCTTATAAAAAAGCAATAACAACAACAGCAACAAGAACAAGAACATTATCGTTTCTGTAACCGGATACCCGATACATCCGCCTGTCGCTTTAGCCCCTTGTCCTAGCCCTGGGCAAGGTCACGCTCAAGTTTTCACGCAAAAACATGATTAATTTTTGTTCGCATTTTTATGCACATTCAGCGCAGTTGTTGCCTTTCAAAAGCAAAAGCAAAACAAAATAGAGGTAAAAATATTTAACAAAAAAAAAAAAAAAAAAAAAAAAAAAAACATATCAATCATTTTTGCAGATTTTCCCCGAGGAGTTTTCCCCGTGAAAAGCTAAAACATGCAACCTAATTGGGGTGCCTGCCATTTGGCCCGAGCGCACTTTTCGTCCAAGTCATCGGACATTTGACCATTAGGCGAGGTCCTCCTTGACAAAACGGGTTTCGGCGACGGCGTCTTGGGGTTGCTGCAAGACACAAATCGGCAGGCCGAGCGAACTGGTCAACGGGATCTGGAGTGGACAGCGGCACAGCAGTTTGTCCAGCTTCTGTCCTTTGGCATTTGGCTCGATCACCTTTTGATGTTCATCTTGAGACACGCGTCACAACACGACGGCAAAGTTCAAATTGATTAGATAGTTGATTAATTACCAACTCATTCGCTCTGGTTACATACGGGAAGGTCAAGAGCAATGACAAATTTTGATAGCTCTATGATTTTCTTATGAAAATTTTTTTTTTTACGCTGAATCTATTAAGGGAATTAAGAGTGAGATTTGAGGGAAATTGTGCTTACAGGCACAGGGATGTATAGCAGCACCATATATATTACTGTTGGTCCATGTGAACACGGAGATATAAATATAGTTTCAATAATTATAAACTATCAGTAGGACTGAACTAGTTCAGCTAGGCTTACAATATATCAAATATCTGCTTGAGCTCTATCTATGATATATAGCTTTAAATCATTCGTCTAATAATATTGTGTATTCTGTACAAGATATTTTTCATTGCCCTAAAAAATAATTATAAATAATTTCTTATTATACTAAGTTGTCCAAAACTCGATTCGTAACTATTACAAATATTAAATAAAATAAGAAATCGTAACATTTCATATTGACATTTCGCTCCGTTTACCTAATAACAATATTTTGATTTCTCAAGCCGAATGCTCAAGATCTCAGTGCTCAATTCTTGAGTTAGATTTCCTACAAATTCCCCCAAGTAAATATGTTATCGCATATGCCATATGTCATGTATGTAAATAAATATCTAAGCAGAAAATGCCTATTTATTTGCTTAAACTCTTAAATTATTGTAATATACCATTCACAAAAATCGGTATATATATCAGAGAGTGAAATAAATGGAAATTGAAATTGAATAATTCTTACAAAATAAACATATAAATTTTAGCTTGATTTTTAACCATAACAGAATAACATAAAAGCTAGCATCACCAAATCTCAAGAAAGGGAGAATCTTAGTTCTGTCTCTAATTCCAAAACGAGTAAACATGAGTTCAAGTTCAAGTTCTCAAGTCTTGAGCGGGAATTCAAGAAAGCCAATATACTATTTTTTATTTCTATGAAGAGCATAAGAAGTTTAAGTTAAAATTTTGACATCGAAAAGCAATTATATTTTAGTTAAAAAAACATAACCTAGCTAAAACTCAATATAATAATAAAAATCATTAAATAAATGTGAATATATTAAATATTGATATTATTTGCCCAGTAACCTAAACAAAGCTGAATTTAACTTAACTTAATCCCATCTAACCTAATCAAAATCAGTAAATAAAAAGCGAATGTGTCAAATATTTTGTTATTAATTTTTCAGGTGGCGTTGACTAAATTTTAATTTATATATTTATAATATTTATCTTTATTAACTTATCCAGCTCCTTTATAGTGTGATCGCGCTTCATTCGACTGCGAGCTGCGCAAGGGAATCTCGACAACTGACGAATTTTTCAGCTGCCAAGCTGATCTGGGATAGATCCTACAGTGCTGTCCAAAATATTTGCCCATTAGGTACTGGAAAAGGTCATGTAATTGTCACCTCCCCGATCTGATTGGAATCGTAAACTAGCCAATCGGGAGTTCTTGCTCTCATTGCTAGGGGTAGTTGCCGATCTCGACTATGAAACAACCCCTACAAAACTAAAATATCTAATTTTGCATGCTGAGAGAGAGAGAGAGAGAGACAGAGAGAAATTTATATACATATATATATAAAGAGAGAGAGAGAGAGAGAAAGGGAGAGGAAGACAAAGGGAGAACAAGTAGATTATTTATGCTGAGAAGAATATTAGAACATTTAGAAAGTCGGTGAAAGTTTGATCTGGCTGCTCATATATGATATTGCCTTTATATTCTTTATGAATACATATATCTTAATGGTAATAATAATTATGGAAAAACAAAAGTTGCACAAGTGAATAAATGTTTCATAAAATGATTTAATTATGATTAATTGAAATTTTAATTTTATTATTATTTTTAAGACAGAAAAGAACAGATGAAGAATTTCACTCAAATGCCAGGTAAGGCAGTATCCCGCACTGTCGCTTCATATTTGCGCTTATAAATAAAGCAGCGCATTTATTTTTAAAAGACGAGTCCCACAAACAATTTCATAGTCTACTTCTGGGGGACCTGGGGACTGGGCCTGGGTAATTCCCAAATGTGTTGCCGGAATGTTGATCATAAGCAAATTATTTGCCTGACGAATGTGGAATGTGTGTAGTTGTTGCAGCAGTCGATGGCAGGAGGCAGCAAGGCAGCATGACAGGAGGGCGCAGGACAAAGTGAGGAGGTTAGGGGAACGTTGGGCTTAGGCCAGTGTTTGGGTGGGTCTGTCAAGTCGACTTGTCTAGACCTAAAAACAATGAATGTCGAATATCTGTTTGTGATTTGTTTGAAATACTTTTCAAAGGTATACACCTCCACATACACACACACACACACACACACACACACACACACACACAAGCAGATAGAGAGAGACGCATTTAAATATCTTTCGAGTGCTCTCAAATTAATTTACACCCAATACAAACACACACGCGCACATGTGTGTGTCTGTGTGTGCTCACACGTGAGCTTGGCATCGGGTGACAACGAATAAGGACTATAGGAAGAATAAGATAAAGGGAAAGGGGCAACAATTAGAAGCCAAAAAACCGAAGCCAAGTCGCCAACGAGCACAAAAGGCCCCCAGCGTCGGCTTCTGTACACAGTTTTATATAGCCATGTGTGTGAGTGTGTGTGTGTGTGTTTGTCACATGTGTATAGCCAATAGTTGTGTGCGTGCGTGTGTGTGTGTGTGTGTTTTTTACGACATGGCTGCAGCTCCACATGGCTGATTCGCAATGCTCTCAATTCCCCACTGGAGTCTACCCATGCCCCACTCTGACTCCCAGTTCCGTTCACCGTCTCCCCCTCCCCCCAGCCTAACCCTTACGCCGTTTCTCTTCACGTTTACGTTCTGGTTCTTGTTCTCACGTTCGCGTCGAGAACAAAAGGTTAAATTCGCTTTCAAATGGTCAGAATTATTTAATGCGATGGGTTTTAGGTGGCTGGCTACAGCTCTACGGCTCTGACTATGGCGGACAGGCAGGCGCACTGCGTCCGACATTGCAAGAGTGGGCGTGGGTATATATATATATATATATACATGAGTGTGTATGTGTGTGTGTGTGAAAAGGGTTATTGCCAGCGGCAAGCAAACACCACCGGCTGCTAGCTGCGTGGACATCGGACATCGGGCGGACAGACGACCATCGACCGTCGACGGCCTTTGGCTGCCAGTCGACCATCCACAGCCGTAAATCCACCCGCCGCCATTGCGATGCGCATCCATTGCCATTGCCTCTTCCGCTTTCTCTCTCTCTCTCTCTCCCTCTTTCTCTGTGTGTGAGTGAGTGTATTCAATGGTTGCCGCAACGGCTGCCCACTGCTTTGCATTAGCATTAGCCTCAACTTGTCCAGCTTTGTAAAGTTTCTTACTCACAATTAGCAAAACACGGAAGAGTGCCCAACAGATTTTGAAGCTACCCAAATTAAGAATTTCGAAAATGTGAGACTATTTTCACCCAGAATATTTTATACTGCAAATACTTATTTTATTCAAATATACATACAATTAATTATCATAAATGGCAATTGGCTGATTATATTCCAGCCTTTTAGCCAAGTCCACGTGAGAAGATGCTGATAAGCTATAAATAAATAATTCATTAAATAAGAAAAGAAAAATCTAACAACATCCAAGAAACATGCTGAAGAAATCATCCAAGTATATTTGGATATGGGAAAGCTCTGTTTAGGTCGCAATCGAATCTGAGCAATAATTGAAGTCGAGCTCGAACATATGCGCCAATGTGTGAAAATGTGTGGAAATGGCTCAATCATTTCATACCGGAATCACAACGATCGTCAACTGAGTGGACTGCAGCTGCAGTCGGAAGGATCATTAGCATATTGGGATAAGCTTGCTATGAACATACTATATACATATGTATATCAGCATGACAAATATAGTTGAGTCCGACTATAACGACTCCGCTTATGGCGTCCGTACGGTTATTATTATTATTATTGTATGTATGGTTATAGCGACTCCCGTGAACGGAAACGGATATCGGATTTTACGTATATTTATTTATATCTGCATGACATATATATGACCATGGCATGTATATTGGAGATGATATATATATTGTACATAGATGATATATAGACATATATGACCAATCATCTTGATCAATTTGAAAAGGAAAAAGCTGAAGAATGATAAAGATTTATTGAACTTGAAGTTATATCACAATTCGTATGCATTATCATACATAACAAGTAAGAAGGCTCCAGTCGAGACTGCTCGACTGGGAGATACCCTGAACCCTCTAAGCTGATATTCTAATCTTTCTGCACTTCTTTTATGCACACATACATACACATGCATCCACACGCACGCATAAGCCTGCGCTCTGCTAACTGCGCAGTAAGCAGCGACTGCGCTTGGGCTGCGCTGCAGTGTGGGCAATATTATGAGAATTTCTTTGTTGAATAACTTCTTTTGTAGATATACAACCTTAATGAAACTTTTAGAGCGTAATCATATGGTTAAAATGTGTGTACATTCCAAAGCACAAGTCTTTAGTACTTGAAATGCGTTTTTTACAAATTGGGGGCGAAGGGGGCGTGGTATCCAAAATCTGTAAATTACAAAATCTTTGTATTCATTAATTTTATATACAACGTAAATTTGAAGTCTCCAGGTCTAAAAGTGTTCAAATTAGGCTGAAAAAACAATGTCGATTTTTCGATTATTCTCGATAAAAAAGTTATCGGATGAGTTATCGAAAAAATAAAGCAAACTTGTACTGCCTATGGTATACACGAGTATGCATGCCAAATTTCAGCTCTCTAGCTCTTATATGTTCTGAGATCCTTTTGCTCATACGGACGGACGGACAGACGGACAGAGCTATATCGACTCAGCTCGTCGTCCTGATCAAGAATATATATACTTTGTAGGGTCTGCGATGATTCCTTCTGCCTGTTACATACTTTTCACAAAACCATTATACCCTGATTTCCCATTTTCAATGGGTTTAGGGTATAAAAACATGAGACAAATGAGAAATGAGGCTTTCAACAAATATATATGTATGTTTGCTATTGATAAAATTTGATAAAAAAAAAGAGTATCTGTGGTATGGTATCAAAGTTAAGAGCGTTTGTTGAATATTCAATTATTCGTGAAATCTCTTTCTCTCTTTGTCCTTCTCTCTCTCTCTCTCCCTCCATCGCTCTCTCTTTTTCCCACTCTCTATACTCTCTCACTTTTCACATGTTTGTTCGTTCGCTCAATATCAATTTGAATATCGCTGGAATACAATAGAACAGCTGTCAGTCTGATTAACATGAGGCTCAGCAACGACAATGTTTGCATTTCTTTTCGAATGTATAAAACGAAGCCTTTGTTGCTGTTTTGAAAGTTTATCATATAAATGACAACTTTATTAACAGATAACGTTAGAAGTCATATAAGAGCATCATCCAGTTGAGTCGAGTCCCTGAATATGCAAAAAAACATTCAGTTGGATTATTATTATTATTAACTTTTTTTTTTTTTTTTTTTGGCAAGGAGTGCCCAACTGAGGGATACCGTGTAAAGTGGAGTATTTAGAAATAAGGGAATATGCGGTGATTGAGCAAACTGTAGAGTTCTATAAGAATTAAATGATGAGTCGCAGTCCTAAAGTTATTTGATGGAAATTCTTATACATAATTAGTTTATTTCTTATATATGATGATTCAGATATTATTGGATTATATATCTGATGATATTATATGTCCTTCATTTAATATACTTTTTAATATTTTAAATATAAAATTTTATTATTAATGACACTAGGGAAATGAAGGGGAGTTACACCTCCATGTACAAAGTTATCCTGCGCTGTCGCTCCATATTTTAGTATATAAAGTATTGCACTTATTTTTAAAAGGAGGCAAGTTCCAAAAAGTCTATTTAATAACGGAAAGAATCAAATGTTTAAAAATTAATTATTTTAAAAATTATAAACTTTTACTGTGTACCGTATACAAGAATATTCGACTATATATACGTTTGTGTGTGTATTATACAAAATGGAATTATTTTAACTGAAATATAGATGCATATGGCTAGATAATAGCTTATCTAGCTAATCGATATTGCCTTATTGAGTCGCAATAGCCTTTTTACCCTACATTACCATTTGCAATGCCTTCAAGGTATGGAATGTTACTGTATATGTGTATGTATATGTAAATATATGTATATTTATTTATATATAGTGTCTTCGAAACAAATTACAGGCGGTATGCCCATATTTTGTTGTTGTTTATGATAAGACACAATCGGCTCACAAAGAACCGCAAAGTTTGCTATGAAGCACAGTTAAAGGTAAC